GGCAGGCGACTAGCCTTTACCAAGATAGACTGCTAAGGCGATTCACACAGATCTTCACTACTGGAATGAATTCCAGTACAAACCAGTGAATTGATTGACTCTCGCATAACCAATTCACCACTATCAATCAAGGAAGCTCTCTTAACCTAATCAGATTCTATCTATCATAGGTTAAAGCAGAAATCAAGAGAAGATGATCGGGCTTCAATTGACTCAATAAATCATGCCTCAATCGATTATAATCAAACAATATAGCATCCAAAACTTCATACAAGAAAGATCCTAACACATGGAACTAGGGTTCCTCAAAACCTAAGTGAAGGGAAGTTACTCCATAGAGAAGAGAGAGACTGCAGAAATCTGATCTAGATCTTCAATCTCCATCTCCAAGCTTGATTCCCGAGCTCCAATGGCGAAGAAATCCTCCAAAATAGCTCAAAGAATGTTCCCAAGTCGCTCTCTCTCTATGGTTCGTCCCTTAGGTGTTTGGGAACCAAAACCCAGATCTCCCTCTCCTTTGGCTCGAAATTGGCTTCAAACCAGAAATTCCCGACTCACACGGCCGTGTGACTTTCCCAGCTGCCGTGTGAGTGTCCAAACGCGGTGTTTCGATTAGTGGGTAACCAGGCAAGCTGCCCGGGCAGAGGCCACACGGCCGTGTGGCTCCCCAGGTTGCCCGTGTGGCTTTTACTGAGCCTTCACACGGCCACAAGGGGCCCCTACATGGCCGTGTGATGTGCAATGGTGCCCGTGTGGCTTCCCAGCTTCTGGCCAAACATCCAAACTTTTTCCAATCGACCCCGGACTCGTTCCCAAACCTTCATTCACGTACTAGGACCTGAAATATTACAAACAAGCACAACCTAGCGTGAAATCGGCCTAAAACACGAGAATCGACATCTCAAACGGCTTAAGAATAAGTGTAAAAACATGTGTAATTATTGGTCTATCAGGGGGTCTCCTCTCTAATCTAGGTCAACATAGCACACACAATGTCTGAACCAAAATGCACCGCTTCACATCCTGGGGTTCAAGGTTTGTGGCTTCTTTTCACGGTCTTAGCGACCGTAAAAAGCCTTGGCGTCAGTAAACTTATAATCCTCTCTAGACGCTCCTTGGTTCACGGATTGTGGCTTCTGTTCACGGTCTTGTAAGACCGTGAGCTCCAATGACAGACCATGAACTGTAGCTGTCTCCTCCTCTTTACCCGGTCTTTGCTTCTTTTCTTCCAACTTTCGACTCTGGGTTTGGTTTCGCCTGTTAGGATCTGAAACACACCGAAACACAAGAAACCTCGCGTAAAACTACCCTTTTTGTAGTTCAATTGCAACAAATGTCAAAGCCAAACGGGGATAAAAAGTGTACAATTAGGACCGAATAAATTGCCTAAGAAAACCCAGCTCAATTAAAGCCTCTTAAGATAAGGGGGCTTCTCTCTAAGCTATGTTAGAATACCATAATAGATTGCCAAGCAAACAATATTCACAATCACCATGAAAAAATACCTCAATTCTTAAATTAAACACCACCATCACACAATCATTCAATCCACTTAATCAATTACATGGTAATAGTTAGGGTACTACAATACGCAAGTGACAATGGAAACTACTCCATGCTAGACAAAGGAAGAACGCAAAAGAGGAAGAAAGAAACCATCATTGTGATGCCTCCAACTCTCCTTGTGCTTGTAGAGATCATCCAAAGGAGAGGAACTTCCAAACTTTTCACATGGAGCAAACCCTAACCACTTCTCCCTCTTGGTTCGTGAGTTTCTCTCTCTAGGATTTCAAGAAGAAGAAGGGTTCTCTCACTTTGGGCTCTCCCTTCTTCTTCCTTTAAGCTCTCTATTTATACTCAAATCGCGCCCAGTTCACGGTCCCAGCTCACGGCCGTGAAAATCAGGCCAAGTCCATGAACTTGATCAAAACTCGTTGCTTCACTTATGGGGTTCACGGTCTTAGCGACCGTGAACTTCCTTGGCGTCAGTAACCTATGAAACCTGACACGCTAACACAAAACACCAAACTGCGACCAAGTGTAATCGCAGTCTGGAAATGCAGTAAGTGGCAAGCTCTATTTGTCAACCCTAGGTCCAGATCTACTGCCTACTCCGTGATTATCTATTATCTAGCAAACTAAGTCGAGTGATTGTGATTTTAACTAAAAGCAGTAAGAAAGCAGGAAATGGTTCAGTTTTCTAAAGCAAGGGAAGAGTCACTCGGGAATGAGTCCCCCCTAGCTCCTTAGTTAGGTCACAGTTGTAATTACCCTGGGTTGATTAACTGTTGATTAAACTGCGGAAGATCCGATAGTAGCTTGGAATCTCTTAAGCTGACCAAGCCCTCTCAGTCCAACTACCCGGCAGACGACTAGTCTTCATCGGGATAGAAAGCTGAGGCTATGAACGCAGAACTCCACTACTGGAATTGGATTCCAATACAAAGCAGTAAATCGATTAACTCTCGTATAATCAATCTACCACTACCGATTGATGAAACTCTAACAAGCTAATCATATTATATCTATCTGAGGTTGCAGCAGAAATCAAGAAAAGATGATAAGACTTCAATTGACTCAATGAATCATGCATCAATCAATTATAATCAATTGGTATAACAATCCCAAGTCATTACAATCAAGATCCCTAACACATGGAACTAGTGTTCTTCATACCCAAGTGAGAGAAAGTTCTACTCCATAGAGAGAGAGAGGAAAATATAAATCAGAGTAGTCATACTCATAACAATGAGAATAATCTGCTCTGGGATGATGATCTTCACTCCTGAGGATGCAATCTGGGCTTCAATAGTGAGAAATCCACTCCAAATAGCTCCTAGGGTTTGTTCTTCGCACTTTCTCTCTCTAAAATTCTGTTTTTGTTCCAAAAAGTCGACCCTCTCTCCTTTGGCTCGAATCTGCCTCAGAAACCCGATTCTAGGCGAAATACGGGCTGAATTACGGTTGTAAACATGGTCTGCCCGTATTTCACCCAAAACGCGCGTTTCACTTAACTCTTATGAGGGGATTACGGTCGAAATTACCCAATTACTGCCAGTCTTTGTGGAATTACGACCGTAGTTCATTTTGCTCTTGCCTGTAATTTGATCTTCGAAGGCATTCTTAGGGATTTGGCTCGACATTGCATTTACGGGCAGGGCAGAGGCAATTGCGCCCGTAATTGGGCAGGGGATGCCCGTATTTCTTCCTCCGCTCCTATTTAATGCTTCGTTTCTCCCTCGTCCGGACTCCGAATCAGTCGCCGTTTGATCCTAGACGCTCATAGTCTCGTCCTCTTTTTTTCATCACAAGATTCCATGATTATTTGTCCATAATATGAGGTAGAAATCCATTCTTCCTTAGGTCATGCTCATGTTTCTTCTCCCGAATTGCCAAATGAATTCCGATTGACTTGAAACTTGCGCCTTTGCTTCAATTTACATGCTAGGACCTGAAATACGAAAAAACAACACAACCTAGCATAAAATAGGCCATGCAACCACAAATTCGAGCTAAAATGGTCAGGAAACAAGGGTGCAAACATGTGCAGATACGATGCTATTAAAACCCCTTTGCACGCTTTGCGGTTCACGGTTTGTGATTCCAATTCACGGTCCTTGCGACCGTGAACAGCGCTGAAAATTCCTCTTTGCCCGGTCTTTGCTCCTTTTCTTTCACCTTTCGACTCTGGGGTTGGTTTCACCTATTGGACTCTGAAACACATTGAAACACAAGAAACCTAGCGTAAAACCACCCTTTTTGGAGCTCAATTTCCACAAACATCAAAGAGAAACGGGGATAAAAAGTGTACATTTAGACCCGAATTGGAAAAGAAACCCATGTATCCTGAAACAATTAGACTTTAAAGTTGAACCTAACAGCAATAAGAGATTTTTCGATTTTGGGTTTTGTTGGAGTAAACTAAAATCGAACCAAATCTTCTTAGGGGAACCAAATGCTATTTCTTTGGGGCTAATGGGTCTCAGGTTCTCTTCGGTTTCTCGGTTTAAACTAAAACTACTAACATGCATTCGGTGTGAAATCGTAACCCCGAAACTAAAAGTGTTCTTAACGGGTCACTTTCTGTTCAAATCGAAAAATCGCATCCAAACCAACAGGCGTAGCTTACACATCAGTTGTCAACATTTGATCGTTGATCACTAACGGACAATTAATAAAATTAGCAGAGACAATAGTTTCAGATTGGATTATAATCTTGAATAAAATATGACACAAGTGACATTTTGTTGATAGTTCGGATGTTTTAGTGGTATTAACTTTTTTTTTATAAAGAATTGGTGGGATTTTGTTTGGAGAGTAGTGGCGGGGAAGAGAAGAGAAAGATGTACGTGAGTGGTGGTGAATGGTAAATGATTAGGTTTAGGTTGGTATTTTTTTTAAATTACTAAAATTAAGGCTAATTATTATAAATGGTCACAAAGATAATTTCGTCCATCTCCATCCAAAAGTCTGTTAGTTTACTCCAGTCAGCATGCCATATTATCAACAAATAATAATAAAAAATCAATCAACAAACCAATTATATCTAACCAAACAAAACCCCACCCAAAAATTACCAAATAAAATTACAAACCCAATCCGAGCGAGGCCGTGAGCAGAAAAACTCAGTCAGATTGCAGCAAGCAGCAATGATGGTGACTGGAACTTCCTAGCTCCCTTTTCCTTTGTTTTTACCCTCCCCCGCCCTGCCGTCATCGCTAGGACAAAACAAGTAAAGGGAACAAAAGGATGCAGAAATGAGGTAAGCAAGAGCTCAAGCACATAGTCTTCAAGATGTGTTCTTCGTCCTCAGCAACTAGCATCAAGTGTTGGGAATGAGTTAAATGAAAAGACAATTGTTATCCTAGGGTATGAAGGCAATCATCCTCTCGAGTATATGTAGCCTTTCATGAAATCCAACTTCTCTTGTATTTGTCATATATTTTAGTAAAACTTACATAAAAATTATTTAGGCAAACGTAGTTAAAAGCCCATATCTGTTATGTGCAGAAGTGTGACGGCACCAACAATACATATACTCTGTAGAAGTCGTCGTCTTTTCGGAGAAAGAGCCTGACGTCCGAGATTGCAGCTTTGGAGCGTTGGATGAAGTCCGGGCTGTCAACTACGGAGAGCCATTGCTTCGAGACGTGCCTCAACGAACCAGATCGGCAGCGTTGGTGAGCCAAGAGCACGACCAAGAGCAGTGCCACAACCATCGGAGTGATTCAACGCCCCTCACCGTTCCTGATTCACAATTCCGATAGCCCCAGCCAACTCTTTGTCGGCGAACTCCTCACGAAGAAAAATTACGGCGAGTGGGTTGGCCATATCTCGGACTCTCTCATCGCCAAGAATAAACTTGGCTTCGTCGATGGATCCATCTCTGCTCCGGCCGGTGGAGGCGAGGATTATGATGCCTGGAAGCAGGCTGATGCGATGGTTAAAGGCTGGCTTAAGAATGCCATGTCAAAGGATGTACGCAGCAGCGTACGTTTTGCCACTACTGCTCGGGAGATTTGTGTCAACATCCAATCTCGTTTTGGTCACGGAAGTGCACCTAGAATTTACGAGCTGCGTAGCACTATTCTTCAACTCCAACAAGAGAAGACTTCGGTCGCATCTTTCTACACCAAACTCCGAGGTTTGTGGGATGAAATGGGTCCCTTGCTCCTTCCTTAGAATCTACCTTTGGTGGCTCTACTTTAATGTCAGCCGCAGGCAACGAGAAGCTAAAGAAAGCGAGCACATTTTTTTATTTCCTCATGGGTCTCGATGACGCTTTTGGTAATCCTAGCCATGAAACCTATTCCCAACTTGCCTGATGCTTACCATTTGATCATGAGCGATGAACAGCAGCGCCATATCTCTAGTAATCGGCGTCCTCGCATTGAAGCAACTGTGTTTCAAGTGCAAGGTGAGAAGAAGCAGTCAGCTCGCCATGGGGAGCGTGATTTTGATCGCCCATGTGATGCTGAGGGTCGTCCCATATGTACTCATTGCCACAAAATTGGGCATTTCAAGGCAACGTGTTATAAGTTGCATGGATATCCTATACGTAATCCCAGCAGCAATGATGCGCCTACGCGCCGTCGCGGGGAGTCTTCGGATAGCGGCCAGCGCTCCAGTCCTCAAGCTGCTGCTGTTGATGTTGAGCATAGCCCTTTCCCAGGGCTATCTCCAGCACAATTCACCCAATTAAAGCAACTTATTGGGGCTGATATTCATCCTTCCACTCACGCCTCATTGGATCCAACTTCAAACATGGCAGGTACTAATCTTCCTTCTCATTCATCCTGGGTTATTGACTCGGGCTGCAATGAACACATAGTTAATGATAAGTCCTTGTTATTCAATGAGCTGGAGAGTCCGCCAGCTTTACAGGTTCGTATTCCAAATGGTACTGGAGTATTCGTTTGTCGGAATGGTTCTGTACAGTTATCTGATGATCTTGTTTTAAGACGGGTGTTATATGTTCCGGATTTTAAGTGTAATTTACTCTCTGTCAGTCGTCTCACGGCTGATCTCCCGGTTGCTCTAATTTTCTTAAAGAACTTCTGTGTTGTTCGGAACTTACCATCCAAGAGGCTGATTGGGATGGGTAAGCACATCGATGGTTTTTATTATCTACAGTTGTTCGACGAGCGACATCCGGTAGCTCATTTTGTTCATCAAGCCGCAGACAGTTCAATATTGTGGCATGCGCGGCTTGGTCACCTATCCCTGGCAAAGTTGTCACTGCTACAACGGTTCATATCGAGTCCTATAGTTCAGCATAAGCATTCTTGTCTTTCCTGTTTTCGTGCCAAGTAGACTCGTGATCCCTTTATTTCTAGTTCGATTACTACTCAGGATTGTTTTGAGCTGCTACATCTTGACATTGGGGGAGGTTATTCGACTCCTTATTTTACTAGGGGGCACAACTGACACGTAAAACACAACACCTAACAATGGCCAATTGTAACCAATGAAAGGGACTGCAGTATAGTAGCACAAGTAATAAATATCGAATCCACGGGTCTCTAGAGTTACTATTACTCAGCTTTAGTTCATTATCTAGCAAACTAGATTAAGGATTGATTTATAAACTACTCTACTAATTACAAGTTGGGAACTCACTTAGGTATGATTCCCCCTAGCTCCTCAATTAGGTCCAAGTTGCAATTACTTTTGGTTGGTCTACTGTTGATTAAACTGCGGAAGATCCGACAGTAGCTTGGAATCTCTTAAGCTGACCAAGCCCTCTTAGACAGAATACCCGGCAGGCGACTAGCCTTCACCAGGGTAGACTGCTAAGGTAATTCACACAGATCTCCACTACTGGAATGAATTCCAGTACAAAGCAGTGAATTGATTGACTCTCGCACAACCAATTCACCACTATCAATCAAGGAAGCTCTCTTAACCCAATCAGATTCTATCTATCATAGGTTAAAGCAGAAATCAAGAGAAGATGATCAAGCTTCAATTGACTCTATAAATCATGCCTCAATCTATTATAATCAAACAATATAGCATCCAAAACTTCATACAAGAAAGATCCTAACACATGGAACTAGGGTTCCTCAAAACCTAAGTGAAGGGAAGTTACTCCATAGAGAAGAGAGAGACTGCAGAAATCTGATCTAGATCTTCAATCTCCATCTCCAAGCTTGATTCCCAAGCTCCAATGGCGAAGAAATACTCCAAAATAGCTCCAAGAATGTTCCCAAGTCACTCTCTCTCTCTAGGGTTCGTCCCTTGGATGTTTGGGAACCAAAACCCCGCTCTCCCGTTTCCTTTTGCTGAAAATCGGGTTTTAACCAGAAATTCCCGATCACACGGCCAGGCCACACGGTCGTGTGACTTTCCCAGATGCCCGTGTGAGGGCTCGGTGATTTCCACATGGCCACATGGCCAGGTCACACAGCCGTGTGGGTTTTTAGGCATGCCCGTGTGGCTTGCTCAACCTCTGTTTAATGCTTCGTTTCTCCCTCGTCCGAACTCCGAATCAGTCGCCGTTTGATCCCAGATGCTCGTAGTCTCGTCCTATTTCTTTTAATGTTGGCAAGGTGGCCTATCCGATGGAACATCACCTTGACTATAGTCGCCTGTCTCGGTCTTACCATGCATTCGTTGTTGCTGTCTCTTCCATCGACGAGCCCAGGTATTATCATAAGGCTGTCCACCATGCGCATTGGCACGCCGCCATGAAGGCTGAAATTATCGCCCTTGTTGCTAATGGCACTTGTGAGCTATGCTATTTGCCACCCGGTAAACGCGCCATCGATTGTAAATGGGTTTATAAGGTTAAGTTTCTTCCTGATGGTTTGGTTGAGCGTTATAAAGCTCCGTTGGTGGCTAAGGGTTTCACCCAGATCGAAGGTATTGATTATCACAATACCTCTTTGCCGGTTGCCAAGTTGGTTACTGTGCGTTGTCTTCTTGCAGTTGCTGCTCATCACGGTTGGTTTATTCAGCAGCTCGACGTAAATAATGCATATCTTCACGGTGATTTGACTGAAGAAGTGTACATGCGGATTCCTCAAGGTTTGTAAATAATGCATATTTTCACAACCTGGCGATACTGCATATTTTCATCAGGCCCTTGTTGCTAATGACGTAAATAATGCATATTTTCACAACCTGGCGATACTCGTGTTTGTCGTCTTCGTAAGTCTATCTATGGGCTTCGTCAGGCTTCACGCAACTGGTATCACATGTTTACTCAATCACTTTTGACCTTGGGTTTTTCGCAGAGTCGAGCGGAACATTCCTTGTTCACCTACCGCAAGGGGTCTACTTTTGTGACAGCACTCATCTACGTTGATGACGTTATTTTGGCTGGTAACGATATGTCTTTTATCCAGAAGGTGAAGGATTTTCTTCACGCTCGCTTCACTATTAAAGATTTGGGTGATCTGAAGTATTTCCCGGGCATCGAAGTCGCTCGTTCTCCCAAGGGTCTTGTTATGAATCACTGGAAATACGTACTCGACATTCTTAGCGAGGCTGGTGTCACGACATGCAAGCCGAGTCCTACTCCTATTGAACAGAGCCATCATTTCGGTCGAGATCCTTCTTCCCCTGCTGCTGATCCTGCAGCTTTTCATCGTCTGGTTGGTCGTCTCCTTTATCTTACGGTGACTAGACCTGATATCACCTATGTCGTGAACTTGTTGAGTCAGGTTGTTCATTCTCCTACTCAAGCCCATATCGACGATGCCACTCGTATTCTCCGGTATTTGAAATCATCTACTGGCCGCGGCTTGTTCCTTCCTTCGTCCGGTACTCTCTCTCTTACAGCATACTGTGATGCTGACTGGGCTGGGTGTCCAACTACTCGGCGTTCTACTACCGCCTATTTCATCACTCTGGGTTCTTCCCCGATTTCTTGGTGTACAAAGAAGCAATCGGTTGTTGACCGGAGTTGACCGTTAGTTTTTAACAGAAAGTTCAGTCAGTATCTACGTTGCATTTGACATGGAATTTTTAATTATTTTTTTCTTAGAAAATTTATAAAATATAAACAAAACCCCTATTTACCAGAAACCTCGCCGATGATTATTCCCCTACTGCCTCCCAATCTCCGCATCGTCGTTCCTTCCCCATCTCTGCATCGTCGTTCCTTCTACTCTTTCCCAATCTCCGCATCGTCGTTCCTCCCCCATCCCCTGTTGCCTCCCCCATCTTCGCATCGCCATTCCTTCTGCTCTTTCCCAACCCTTATAATCCAAATCCTCCACCCAAATTCTACCGCTCGCCTTGTTGGGAACTTCCCTGTGACATTGGTGAATCTTGCCCTTGCGACCACAGCGTGAAGAGTTTAGGAAAAGAAAAAAATGGGAATGCAGACTCTTCTTCCCCAATCCCAATCCAGCTACTCTCTCTTCCCTGAGTAGCTCCATTCCTATCACGGCCCAGCCCTCTCCCCCCCCCCCCCCAAATTTTCGTAACCCTTCACCATTGCCCTCCTTTTTGTCCGACCAATAAAAGTCTCCAGCTCCTTCTTCCCTGCCGCAAGCAAGTTCAAGCCTGCCTCTCAGTATCCAGCCACAAGACATGAATCGCCCAGCCATTGGAGCGACTCGAGGAGGGACGGTGGCGATGGATATGGACCGAGAGAGAGAAATCAACGAAGGGTGCCAGCGGTGGTAGGGAAGATGATCTACAGTAGTCAGAGCTGGATCTACAGCAGGGGAATCAGCTTGTTGATTTCTGGGTTAAATTTATTGAGGTCGAATACGAGCAGGGGAATCGGCTTGGAGATTTTTTAGAGAAAGAGAGGGCGAATCGGTAGGGAATAAGAATAATGAGATTTTTTTAATTTTGGCTTAATAATATAATTGAATTTACAAATTTTTTTTAATTTTAACTCAAGTTTTATTTAATTTTAATTAAAAAAATATGAGGTCAGTGACGTGGTATCTATGTGGCAGCCACATTCTTTGCCACGTCAACAAAACTCAACTCGCGTTGACCACCGTTTGGTCAACCGTTATCTTTAACGGTCAACGAAATTGACAGGATACAAATGACACAAAGTATTATAGTTGAGGACATGAATGGAATATTGACTACGATAGGACACAAGTGACATTTTTTCTATAGTTCGGGTATTGTAGTGGTATTAGCCCTAAAAATTATTTAGGCAAACGTAGTTAAAGCCCATATTTGTTATCTGCAGAAGTGTGACGGCATCAACAAAGAAACAGAGGAAGATAATATGAAGAAGAAATAGTTAATCAAGAAGCAAAAGAGAACAACACATATACTCTGTAGAAGCCGTCGTCTTTTCGGAGAAAGAGCCTGACGTTAGAGATTGCAGCTTTGGAGCGTTGGATGAAGTCAGGGTTGTCAACTACGGAGAGCCATTGCTTCGAGAGGTGCCTCACCGAACCAGATCGGCAACGTTGGTGAGCCAATCAAGAATGTGGGCGATGACTTCTGGCGGGACTGAGTCTGATATGGGTTTAAGAAACTGAATCGATGGAGCAGGACGGTGGGCAGAGATAGAGGGAACATGATTCTAGGGAGTGGAATCACTCTGCAGGGTCGACTATGAAAAGCAACAGAGTCTCCAAGATTTTCGGGTGGTTCAGGATTAGGGTTTTTGGTTGGGTTGTCCGGTTAAATTAGGTTTGGTCGTTAAATTTTTTATTAATATTTTAAGTGATGTGGCGTGCTGACTGGATGAAACTAACAATTTTTTGGATGGAGATAGACACAATGACCATTTCGTTATTCTCTCAAACGTATGTTACTGAAACGTGCAAAATAAACGTTTTGTTATCGTTTTGTACAAAGTGAATAGTTTATGACCATCTATACTAATTAACCCTAAAATTATATATTGAAGGTAAATTATTATATGTTACTTAAATTATTTTTGCAAGGATATAGGATGGGTGATTTGAACCTTTTTACTTAAATTTAAATCATAGATAAATTATTAAATTTTCACTCATTACAGTTGAATCAGAAGCATTATTTAAGGCTTTCATAATTACTTAGCATTTACGTAACACAAGTTTAATATCCTTAAGTGAAAGGACTTTCTATTACGTAAGACTTCCGTAATGACACTTTACTAATGTTACGTAAAATACACATCCATTACGTAAGATAAACAAACATTACGTAATCATTACGTAATGATTATTGTATTAACCTGTGAAACCTGCTATAGCTAGTAAAAAAATTCAAGTTACCTTACTTCAAGGCGTTGTAGGAAATTCCTATAATATATATGGTGAGTTTTATGGTACCCAGGATGAAATACGTGTACCACATAACTTGAGTATGAAAAAACTATCCATACCTTGAATTGACTGATATTCCGGACATGATACTATACTCTAACTCTTAAAGATCAAAATCTAGGTCTTAATTCTCTAAATCTTACACCCCAAGATCAGTTTAATTGAAAACAATAATCGACGGTCATGATTCGTCCAAATATAGACAAAAAATGAACTCACCATCTTAAGGTTTATAGTTTATGATTTAGATAATTAGGACCTAAGGTTCACTCATTAAGGATTATGGCATAATATATAGCCCAAAAATTATGCTAATTCGAGGTCTAAATAGCGTTTCCATGCTCAAGATCTGTGTTACCCCGTATTTCACTTGGGGGACCGTAGAAGCCAATGGATTAATCAGGATGACATTTTTCACCCAATAAACCCGTCATTCAATAATTCAACCTCGAATAAAAGGTTATAAGCAGCTTACAAGATCAACCATCGCAGTACAGTTAGTAAACCAGACTATGTGACAATCTCGTAAATCCCCATCAATTGCAAGCACAATTCTCAATTGGAATTTTACTCAACGTAATATTGTACTTGATAAACAATTTGCAAACGGATGCTCGTTAATTCAATAAACCTCGGATTACTCTACAAACTCTTCCTTCCAACAATATAAGCGCTTGGTCGATAGTTGAGTGATAACGGGCTTCTTCAGAGCACCATCTGGGCCTAGAACTAGTGCAAGCAACCTACCAAGGCCTAAACCTCGTTAAAAGAATGACAGTTAGGCTGAAATGGTTAGATGTTCCTTCGGCTTGAGCCCACAGCCATTAAGGAAAGGAAGAGATATGCCAACCCAGAGCCAGAAGCGCCAACTCGTAAAATCAAATTCTATCAAGTCCAGCGGCACCCGTCAGATTCATTACCCCCAACTAACCAATTGCCGGAGTGATTTTGAAGATTGAGCGGATCATTCCTTCCGATTATCCGAGAGAATTCTTTTTGAAACCCCGGAACCAATAAGTCGCTAGCCATGGTGAGATAATGGATCAGCAATGACTACCCCTGCTGATTCGGCTAGGGTTCTTGTTTCTCCTCTCTGCGCTATTGCTAATTCACTAACTCTGTGGATCGCGTGCTTTTACAGACGGATTCCACCGACGACTTTGAGCCGTTGTTCGATTACCGCCGTGTCCAGCCTCAAAATATCGTCGACCTCGACGGTGAGAATTTCCTTCTTCTGCTACCGCCTTCCGGTGTTCGTATGAAACTTGATTCGCGGTTCGTGCCGCCGCCGGGAAAATCTCATTCCTGAAATCGTTCATCTTGATTCGCGGTGCTTAGCTTCTAATCTAACTTTGCATTGATTCTGCTTCTAGATGATGACGCAGCGCCAGTTTGTGCTGCCAAGAAACGAAGAATAGTTGCCAAACCAGTGGTAGGCTTCCTTACTCATTCTCTCTGTTATTTCTTGAATCTATTTTGCATTCTCTCCATAATCGTGCGTGCGTACCTCCTGTAATTAGATTGACAATGCAGAAGACGGCGATGTGGAGGTCATAGAAATCGTCAAGCATAATAGTAATAATGATAAAGAGGAAGAGGAAGACTGGCTACCTCCCCCTCCAAAGGTTGCTGTTGATCTGCAGAAGCAGTTTGGTGAAGATTCAACAATCAAACAACTGAGGTAAAATATCAGCGCCTTACATTTTCCGCTTCTCTGTAATTTACATATGAAACTCGCAAAATGAGTTTCAAAGCGTCATCCTCCGTTTCATCTGGCCTTATGCACTGGATCCATAGTCATGACCATGCAGCAGTGAAACAGGATAGAGAATAGTTAGTGTTTACTTGAGCTACCTTGAGTTCCATAACCAGTGCTCATTGGTCTGGACTACATACAAGCCTTTAACAAAGAGGAACTGGAGAAGTTTGTTGGCTGCCAGATTTAATGTAGCATTCTTCCAGTTACTGATATGCCAGGAGATGCAGCTCAACTAGTTCCTTTTTATAACTGTAAAAATTATTGTCACTTGTGCTTCTATTGTGGCATTATTTGCATTCACACATCAGTCACATGGCAATGTGATGCAGGTTAAAAAAACAGGAGCTGCAGCAGTCTTTTGCCAAATCAGCTGACGATGTGTTTTTAGCCCTAGAAGAGGCCATAAGACAAAGGATTCCTAATGATCCACTTGAGGCATCTGCAATGAATGTCACAGACCACCCATCACAGCTTCCCAGCCAAATGGCTAAAATATCGAAGCCTGTCTGTGATAGGCCTAAAATTGTCATTTCTATTCAAGACCAGGATGGATTGAAGCAATATCGTCTGTTCAAGGTATACTCTTAGATGAATTTATATGGTATGGCCTCTTTATATTTCGAGAAACATGGTCTATGAATTGTATTTGGAAGATTAATGTTATGCGTAGCGTAGCAGCCTTTTGCTACCTTGCTTTCTCTATCAAGCTCAATAGCTAATCTCTCTTTTGACCGTGTGTCAAGTTTCTTCTATTAAATTTCAAAATCTGAACTGTATTTATTTCATTGGTCTACTTTCAACAGAGATAAATTGTAATCAGTTGTGTGTATAAACTGAAGTTATACAGTAAGACAATGGTATGCTAGGCAACTTTCATTATATTTTGTCAATGCCAGTGACATTTTCCTAAAGTGTTCATGTATGGTTCTCCTTTAGTCCCTTGAAATTTGAATTGCATGTTTATTACTAGATATCGTTGAATTTCAATGATATATATATATATTTTTTTGTTGCTCAAATAGGACGACAAGTTTGAGCGGTTTTTCAAGATGTATGCTGAAAAAGCAAAAGTTGATGTTCAAAACTTGGTCTTTTCCTTTGACGGTGACAAAATCAATCCTAATGCAACACCTGATGGCCTAGACATGGAAGATGGGGACATCATTGAAGTCCTTAGTAGGAAACGCTGACATGAGGTACTCTTGCTGGATTACTTTGTGTTGACTGGTAACTTTCTTATTGTTTGAGTAAAAGAAAAACTGATTTTTTCTTGCTGAAATGCTCTTCCCTCGGTGGAGCTGTGATTCCAGAGTTGATGCATATAGGATCAGCTGATTATAGGTGTCAGGAGGCATTTGCTGGTATTTGTGTCGTTTAGACTGTAATCAGAGATGAAACACGATGAACTTCTGCATATGAATCTAATGGTGATAGATGACTTTGTTTCTACTTTAGAATGTACTTGCCAGTTACCGTGGTTGCTCTCAAGAGATGACAGTGCAGCTTTATGCAAGTTCATTCTCTGTTGTTTCTGAGCTGCTGCTGATTCCTATTGCCTTTGGACTTTTAATAAATCTTACCACTGCTTCATGTTATTGTGTTGTTGCTGCAGGACCGGTTGAAGCAATCTCCAGTTGCTAATCTCTTTTGGACCGTTGCCTTGTCCTTCCGATGAATGATTCGAAGACACATTGTCCTTGAAGCAATCTCCAGTTGCTAATCTCTTTTGGATTTCTTCTACCTATATATATCATGAATGTCGAAGCAACATTAATCAATTAGCACATAAGTTTCTGAGCGGAGAAGTAGTTGATAAAAGAGCTTCGTCTATATTCTTTTTAGTTTATCGATAAAAGAGGCTATCTTCCGCTTAAAAGATTGAAAATATGAGCAAGATGATAGCTTGGTCATTTTATTAGGGATGATAATGGGTCAGATTTTGTCAAATAAAAATTCATGGGTATATTTAAAAAATAAAATTAGGGGTAAAATTTATTAGGTTTGAAAACTCAAATCTAACTCAATCCGTTGGATATGTGCGGGTTTATTGATACAATGATACCCATGGATTTTGTGGTAAAAAATGCTAATAATAAGTTTCCGCTAAAATAAAAGTCTAACATTAATTTTCTCATATAAATTATACATACTAAAAACACCAATTTAAAGCATCCAAGCAAAACACAAATTATCCATACAAATTGTTCAACATTAAAGATAAACATTTATAAACAACAAGATTAATTGAAAGCTTATTCCTCATTGTGAATTAAACTTGTTTTGCTCTTCACTCCATAATATCTACTTCATTCCACACAATTAGAAAGAACAAATTAGATATATCTCCACAACGTTAAGAAGATTAGTTGTTTAATGAAGATATATTGTTTAGAATATTAAATATACCGGAAAAATTAATTATATGAGTGTGGATGGGTATCCATAGTACGAGTATACCTAAACCTGAATCCAACCAACTCATGAATAGTGTAATGAGTTTTACCCGTATTGACCGAGTTGGGTCGAATAAGATATCTATGAGTTCGGATTAGTTGCAATCTCTAATGCATGGAATGCTTCTGGAACAAGTTTGGACCTGCAACTATTTTAAATTTCTCATTTTTATTCTTGTTCAGGGCAATGAATTTCCTCCATTGTATGGTACAGGTAGATGTGGCAATTCTCAATCAAATCCACTAACCTATTAAAAATATTCACCTAATCCAGTCCATTTGATCGAAATCCAATTGGATTGGTGGATTCATGGATTGATCCATGGATCCAAATGGCAAATTACGGTTTGGTACCTATACTTTTTATATTTTACATTTTGGTAACCAAAATTTAATTTTTTATACGAAAAAATCACTATAAAATTACATTTTGGTACATAAAATTTTCATTATTGCATTTTAGTACCTAAACTTTTCACATTTTACATATTGGTCCTTAGTTGAGGATGCCATTTGGATTCATGAATAATTCACCAATCCACTTGATCCAATCCAAGAATCCACCAATCCATTTGATCCATGGATCCACCAATCCATGGATCAATCCATTTGTCACATCTAGGTACAGGTCAGGCCAACTTTTCAAGCAACACAAAGCAAGATTAAAATGGTCTCCTTTTCGTTTGGAAGTTGCGATGGTATCTGTGGAATTATTTAGCAGACACACTACATGAACTAGTTACGGGCCCGGCCAGTTGGCCGGATTTAGTCGCCAATCACATAAATAACATTATTAAATTGAATGTTAGATATGCGAGTTTTGATAGTATAAGAAAATCAAAATTATTCAAATACATGAAACATTCAAATTGATTGGTATATGAGAATCCAAATTATTAAAGTACTTCAATAATTTAAAATGATTAATATCATATAATGTGTTTTACGACATTGAAACTAACTCATTGACTAAAATCTTTTTACGAAAATGAAAGACAAACCCCAACCAACTCCTAAAGGCATTTTAAAATCACCTTTCAATTTACTCCAACTTATTAGAGATTAGTCCACATTTTCTTTTTGACTTGTTTGCACTTCCACCGTCATGAGTAGCATCATCATCTGCACCAATATTTTTGTCTTTATCTCCATTAGTGATATATTTATCTCCATTGTCAATTCCTCTTCATTAATCTCTTGCATTTTCATATTCTCTTACTTTGGTTTTCCTGCATTTTAATGAGCACAAAAATTTGATGAAAACTATTTACAAATACCAATAATCTTCTTCACCGAAATAGAATTTACCTCATCCAAATTTTGAAAAATATCAAGGATTTTTTTTTCTTCTCATCACAGGTACTTGTATCTTCGTCATGAACAATGTGTTTCTTCTTCTCAAGATCATTGTCATCTCTAGCACCGGATCTAGTGCATCCACCATTAGTATCACTATTGTTCTCTTGCATTAGTATTATGAATTAAGATCATCTACATTCAAAGGCACAACATATGATGTGATTATATAGAATCATGGGTTTTTAAAATAAATTGGAGTTAAAATTGTAGCCGGATACAATTTCTTACGTGTTAGTGTGAAAGGAGTAAATTTTCCAAAATAATAATAATAAGTATTCATAAAAAATCCAAAAATACCATCCATTTCCAAAAAATGAGTGGTATCTTTGAAAATAAAAAATTGGTGGTATTTCTGAAAAAATTATGTGAAAAGAAGCAAAGTTCCACTGGATTTTTATGTTATAAACGACCTGCATTTGCCTATAGATTAAAGAATACAACTAAGTGTAACTTGTGCATGTTTTAAAATAGAAGGCATATATTTGTGCATATGGTATAAAAATTGAATACATATACACTTGATAATACAACCAAGTATACAATTGCATGAATGCTATTGGGTAATAAATGAAAGTTCCTCTAGAGTTTTAAGTTATAGAATTAAATGCTTAAACAGTACAACCACGAAGTGCATCATATAAATATTGAAGAACTATATACTTGGTTACATAACTAAGTATAATTTACTTATAGTATACCGTCTGAGTTCTACTCTTTTGATCCTTCGCTATCCTAGAAATCATGTACTTGTTGATTAATTATGTATTATGTGAGTTTGATATCGAACTACAATATAAGGTGTCAAAAATGAATGTACGATTTTATTTACTTCTTCTTAGGATTTTTTCCAAAATATGTGGATCGGAGTAGGTTTTGATTGGTTGGATGAGTCTATGGTAAGCGGCTCCCCGGATTTTTTCGACGGTTGCCAGTATTATATGGTTTAGGGGTCATTCCCTCAACTTCTAGGAAATGAGCCGGTGGTAATCCTCTCATTCTATCGTTGTCTTGGAATAACCTTTCAATCGACATTCCAAAAAATCCATCTCCCACTCGATCCATAACTACAAAGTTAGCCTCGGTAGTTTTGTCCACAACTCAAAGGTGAATCCTGAATAAGTAAAAATGGTCAAAGTATTAAAAAAAGTCAAATCACACCGCTATACTTTCAATTTTCTTCAACTCCCTTATTTGTTACTTCTCTCAAACATTCTCAATTAATACTTTTATTCTCCGTTTAATTTTCTTTTCATTCGATCTTTTCTTCCTTCTCATTAAGTACATTATTTTACCCATTTGGCTGGAAGGCGGTGATGGGTGCTTGGCACGACACGAAATAAACCGGTTCCGAAATGTGTTTGCATCGTGTCGGCCGAAGCACGACCCAGGCACCCAGTGTCCAAGTAACAAGAACCCACAAGTACCCAACTAGACCTAATCGAGTCAAAGCGGATAAAACCTATTTTAATGGGTTTTGGGTTAGTGCAGGTTTTACGCGCTTTTGAAATTGGTGGGTTGGGTTTTACCAAAATCCAACCCAGTTTTCACCCAATCCGCACCATAAATAATTTATAATTCTATTATTCTTTATGGAAAAATAAACATAATAATATGGATAATTATAGATGTTGGTAGCTTTTATTGAGATATATTTGTAGAAATTTTTGATACAATACGATATTGATGTTCGTATAAATAATTTATGATTATGTTCGTGAACTCATGAGTACCAATGAACCCGTGGGTACCTGTTGGATTGAGTTTTCACTTCCAAAACAAAATGAATATTTTAGCGAGTGTTTTTAATGTATCCACCCGTTGGCTTTTGGTTAGAGAAATCTGACCTTATCTGACCCCTATCATCCGTAGATCTAGTTCACAAAGGGATATATATATATATAGAAGGACATGTATGATAAGTTCGTATAGTAGAGAGACAGATATAAATATAACCCTTAGACTAGATAATAAACAAAAATTTAATAAAAGCAAGACCTAATACTGATAAAGGTTTCATAGTTTACATTTTATATCAGTTGTATTCCTAATAGTTTTAAAGGCAAAATACAGTTGTATATCCACAACTATCAGGTTTGTGACAAATATATTCACAATTATCGAAATACACGAAATAGCCAAAAAACGGAAAGTTGTGTGGCGAATCTATCCACTTCCGTCTGAAACTATAACGACGTGCCAGACAATGTTAAATTGACTAACTGTACTGCGGAAATCCTGAGTTGGCTAAATTTTTCCCCACCAATCCTTGGTGGATTAACGGAAAGAAAAATAAAAATAAAAACATACAAATAAAAATTAAGCCCACTAACACCCGTGCTTTTCTCTCCTCTCTCCCTTCCTTCCCCCCTTCTCTCTCCTCTCATTCTTCTTTCGCGGAGCCACCGGCCACCGCCACCCCTTTCACGCCAATCTTCCATTGGAGGCAGGGGAAACTACTAGGAATGAATCACTAGCCTTCGCACCCACCACAAATACGAACCTGAATCAACGATTGAGGAAATCAAAGGAAGCGATTCAATACAACAAATTCGTCGATGAATCAATTGAATTGAAGGATTGAAGAAATCAAATTCGTCGAGGAATCGAAAGAATCAATCAAGAATGCAGCAGAATTGAGAAGATTGAGAACGACGATTGAGAAGAGAAGGAGAAGTAAGATTGAACCCCTCTAACTTCTTCTCCGAAACCTTGCAGATCTGAATCAACCGTCGTCGTCGGAACTCGAATCGGCTCATGCGTTCTAGGGTAGCAAGTTTGGTCTTCTATGGTGGCTGCATCTTAGAAGTTTCGGGCATTCAAGGTTTCTCAATCAACTTGTGCATTGCTGGGCTTTTGGCTATGAAGTTTCTTGGTCTGGCGAAGAACAATCACCGTAGCCATTCTCTTCAAGCGGGCTCTGGTTTTTTTCTTCGTTGGAAGGCTTTTGGGCAGATCTTCTTGCCATCGACGAATTTGCTTTCGTCGGAAGTATGGTGGTCCTGGGTATCACCGTGGCACCGACTGCATGGAAGCCGTCGGAGTAAAATGGAGGCGTTAGTTGGGGATTGTGGTTGGAATCGAAATCTGGGCTTGGAGTAGGGTTATTTGTGGGTTTTAGTGTTTTTTTTCTCTTTTAATCCACATCATCCAGTGGGGTGAGAAACACGCCAACTAATCATCCACCGTCTGTCTAGTCATCAAGTTAACTGACGGAGTTAACGAAGCGGTCGGAAATGGATATTTCCTGTATTTCGATAGTTGTGGATATATTTGTCACAAACCTGATAGTTGTGGATATACAACTGTATTTTGCTTTTTTTAAATGAAAAATTCTTGTGCTATTGGAATACGGCTTAGGATACGGTCCATAACTAAATCTAGGCCCTTTATATAGAAATCCAGATCTAAGGGTGGAGAATTAAAGATATTTTTATTTTTTCTTGTTTTCTTAATTGGCTCATATATTCTTCGTTTTAATTCTGATTTCAATTTTTTTTTGCACAGATGGAACGAGTTCGTTGTGATCTACAAAATGAGATCCATTTTCAATATTTTTTTAGAAAAAATTGTAACGCCTCTTGTTACCAATTGCATACCATATGGTATTTTCTTCATTTTTACGTTGTTTTCAAAATTTTTTGCACAGAATGAACGAGTTCATCATGATTTATTCGACCTACAAATTTCTGGGCGAACAAAATACAGTACAAAAAATACCACACAATACCACCCTGGTACGAGGTGGTATATTGTGGTACATAATGTTGAAAGTCGTAAATGACAGTTAGTATACTCCTACTATCATGTATTCAACCATCCTACTGTCTTGGTATGTTCATACTAGGGCTGCAAACGAGCCGAGTCGAGTCGAATTTTTGCTTAGCTTGAGCTCGGCTCGTTTATTAATTTTTCAGCTCGAGCTCGGCTCGAACTCGAATTTTGATAATCCAGCTCGAGCTCGAGCTCGGCTTGAATAAAAATAATCTAGCTCGAGCTCGACTCGGTAGAGCTCGATAAATGCTCATTAACATAGCTTGTTAAGCTGAGTACAAGCTCGGCTCAAGATGAGCTCGATTTAAAATCATTTTTGCTGGAAAAATGTATAAACATAAGAATTTAAATGATAGAAAAACACTAGAAACTAGAAATAACATCTAAATTTCATACACATCTGTATTATAAGACAATGTTCATGTTTAAAAGAGTAATTCATCCTTCCACAAGCTCAAAACAAGGCAGCTCGCGAGCTTAGCTCGACAAGCCACCGAATCAAGCTAGCTCGCGAGCTTATCAAGCTGAGCATGGTCTAGCTCAGGCTTGGCTCGTTAACTAACGAGTTGGCTCGCGAGCCGGCTTGTTAAATAACGAGTCGAGTGTCGAACGAGTTTTTTCCGATTCGAACGCCGAGTTGCTCGCGAGCGGCTTGGCTCATTTGCAGCCCTAGTTCATACCACCATGGTACGCTTTTCATACCATATGCTATGCTCTTATTTCAATAACCGTCAATCCCATATGGTATAGACTGGTAAAAAATGAGTTTTTTTTTGTTTCAAAAATATATCAAAGTGAATATAATTTTGAAGAGCACATTTAATATGATCTAAGTGTGCAAAAAAATTTAAACTTTGACTTAAAACGAGTGATAAATCGTTTGTTAAAGATTAAAGGGAAAAAAAGTAAAGGCTTTACAGGAGAGAGAAGGGGTGGTGATTGTTGAGTTATGGGCTCAGTCCATGTACGTATGATAGGCCCATATGTAAGATGATCATCTCAGCCTAGCTAGGGTTTACGTATGCCGAGTATATAAATATGTGTATGCGTGTAATTGAGGGATACATGAATATACGAGACTGCGTTTCCTGCCGTCGACTAGTCTTGCTCACTCTGAGCAAGGAAACCACGTTAAATCTTGTTCTGTGTTCCGTTACTGTATCGATCTCCGTTTCGTATCTCCGTTTCGATTATCATGGTATCAGAGCCGTCGCAAATGGATTCTGATCGTATTTCAGCGCGTTTGAACTCGAAGAATTACGCGCTCTGGGAGTTTCAGTTTCGGATCTACATTGAAGGTAAAGGCCTTCTTTCTATGCTTGATGGTTCGTCGCCAAGACCCTCTGTACCACCCTCCACTGCGCAGGCACTTTTGCAATGGCAGCAGAACGATGCTAGGGTGAAGACGGCGCTTCTCAATTCAGTCGAGACCTCTATTGTGCTGGGTTTACGTACCCTTCCGACGGCGGCCGCTATGTGGAAGAATTTGGCCGAGACTTATGGCACTACAAGTGTAGCTCGACAGTTCGATCTTGAAATCGAGCTCTCTCAGCTCCATCAAGGCGACCAGGATATTGCTTCTTACTATAATGCGGCGCGCCAACTATGGACCAAACAGGATTTGATCTCCGCTGCGTTGATCCCATCTGGTGTGTCCGACGACGTGAAGGCTAAGAAGACACGCCTTCGGGTGCTCCAGTTTCTCGCGCGGCTCCGTCCCGAATATGAGGCGCTTCGTGCCTCTCTCATTCACTGCGAAATTTGAGGATGGAGGGTGTTCTCGCCTCCTTGCTGCAAGAGGAAACCAGGCTGCGTACCCAGTCGCTGCTCGACGTCAAGCCTGGCCAAGGAGATGCGGCCATTTTTGTTGTCGTTCAAAGCCGCATCGCCAAATCAGGTGCGCCAGCTGCTCGTGAACGTCGTCCACCTCCTGTCCTTGTTGTTTCCGAAGACGAGGTCGGAGAGTCTGCTTATGCAGCCTTTCGTCCTCAATTTCAACGGCGATCCGATGTAGAGTGCCATCATTGCCACATCAAGGGCCATACACAAAAGTTTTGCCGCAAACGAAATTGGTCCGTGTACTGTAAAAAGGCTGGTCATATTATTTCAGATTGTTCCTCTTTACAGGCTCGTATGAGGGAGATGGAGAGCTCTTCTAGTGGCCCTTCTCCTGCTGCTCGTCCTGCTTCCACTCGCACAGCCTTTGCCACGCAACCTGCTAGCTCCGCGAGGGTGTTATGGTGCAACCGGATGCGCTAGAGCAGCTTGTCAACAAAGCAATTGCTTCTGCATTTGCTAGTCTTCAGATTTCTGGTAAGGTTCCTTCCTGGATTCTCGACTCTGCATGTTTTAATCACATGACTGGGAAGTTGTCCAATTTAGAGCATGTTCGTCCGATTGAGAACTTAGCATTGCAGGTTGCGAATGGAGATAAGTTCACTGTAGAGGGAGTTGGCTCTGTCTCACAGCCGCCATTGTCTCTCCCTTCTACTCTTCATGTGCCTAATCTCGTTCCCAACTTAGTTTCTGTTGGCCAACTAACTGAACAAAACTGTCGGGTGGTTTTTGCACCGTCCGGTTGTTCTGTGCAGGATCTGACGACAGGGAGGGAGATCAGTCAGGGTAGCAAGCAAGGCCGCATTTTTCACTTGGAGGAACTCGAAGCGCGGCCTCCAGTCACGTCATCATCATCCTTTTTGGTGTCTAGGGTTACTTCCCCTTCGGTGTCTAGGATTTCTGGTTTGCCTGTTTTCTCCAGTACTCGTGATAAAAATTTTCATTTGTGGCATTCTCGTCTGGGTCACCCCAATTCTAGTCGGCTTTTGACGATATTCAAACAAAAATTATTTGGTGATAATGTGATTGGTGATTCTTCGGATTTTTCGTGTACTTGTTGTGTTGAGGCCAAAGCAACCCGCATTTCTTTTCCATCCAGCCAAACAGCTATTCATGAGCCTTTTCACATCATTCACACAGATTTATGGGGTCCCAGTCCCGTAACCTCTCGCCATGGCTATAAGTATTTTGCCCTTTTTGTTGATCATGCCACTAGATTTACTTGGGTCTATTTTCTTAGGCTCAAATCTGATCTCCTTTCCGTTGCCACCGATTTTATCATAATGATTCAGACTCAGTTTTCTAAAACTATTCGTGTCATTCGTGCTGATGAGGGTGGTGAATTCAGCTCACACCCCCTTCTTCAGCTATACCGGTCAAAGGGCATTCTCTCCCAAAAGGCCTGTCCTGCCACTTCTCAACAAAACGGTCTGGTCGAACGTAAAAACAGGCATGTCATGGAAATCACTCGTGCTCTTCTGATAGCTTCTCATGTTCCGTCTTCCTTCTGGCCTGAAACTGTGTCCACCGTTGTTCGTCTCATCAACTATCAAATCACCCCCGTTCTTGATCAATCTAGTCCTTATTTTCGGCTCTATGATAAGCATCCACCTTATTCGTGTCTCCGTGTCTTTGGCTGCACTTGCTTTGTTCTTCGTCCTCGTTCTGAACGCACCAAGTTAATGTCTAAAACTGCTCGGTGCGTCTTCCTTGGTTACAGTGACATTCACAAAGGTTACCTTTGTTTCGAGCCTTCCACTCAGCGTTTTCGAGTGTCCTGTAATGTAGTCTTTTTCGAGAATTTGATGTACTACTCTAGTCCCCCTTCCGAGTCTCCTTCGTTGTTTTCCCAGTTTATTGGACCACCGTCTTTCTCTGATGATGACGTTGACTTTGTTGATGAAGAGCTACCCCCCGACTCACCTCCCTCCTCACCTGGCTCCTCCTCGTCCGATGATCAGTCCTCGTCCTCCACAACCATCTCCTCTCCATATTCGTCCTCACCGGCTGCACCTCCTCCTCGTCGATCTCTACGGTCCACCAAAGGGCAACTTCCTGCCCGCCTTCATGATTTTGTGACCTACGGTGTTGAGGCCATTCCCATTCCGACCAAATATAGTGAAGCCAAGGGCAATCCTTTTTGGGACAAGGCTATGGATGATGAGATCGATGCTCTACATGCAAACCAGACTTGGGATGTTGTTCCTCGCCCTCCTCCTGAGGTTCCCGTTGTTGGTAGTCGATGGGTCTACAACATTAAGATAAGGCCTGATGGTTCTCTAGAGCGGTTCAAGGCTCGGGTGGTGGCTTAGGGGTTTACCCAGGCGTATGGTATTGATTATACTGAGACGTTCGCTACTGTAGCGAAGATGGTGACTGTTCGATCTCTTTTGGCAGTAGCCTCTCGACAGGGTTGGCCTCTTTTTCAGTTGGACGTGAAAAATGCCTTTTTACATGGCGATTTTGCAGGAAACAGTTTATATGGAGTATCCTCCTGGCTATTCCATGGGCTCTCGGGATCAGGTCTGTTTACTTGGCCGTTCACTTTATGGTCTCAAACAGGCGCCTCGCGCCTGGTTTGAGAAGTTTCAACATACTGTTTTGGAGCTTGGATTTCAGCAGAGTCTCAATGATCCCTCTCTATTTACTCGACGTACATCTCGGGGACTTGTGGCTCTTCTCCTATACGTTGATGACATGATTGTTACAGGTGACGATTCGGTTGGCATTCAGG